GCATGTACAACTGTAAATTTTTGGAAGTATTTTACAAATGTTTTTTAAACTTTGGATTGGTCAGAATTATTACCATAACATAATCCGATATTCGGAGATACTTACCACCGTTGCAAGGCCGTGTACACGCATGCCAGGGACCCCAGATCGACCACTGACCAGTTTGCGGCGGTGGGGTGGTTTTAGCGGGAGCAGGACAGGGTGGTAGATCGATGCACATGATATCGTCATGATCATGCCCGACGCAAACGCGTCCACCGAATGCAGGTGCTGGATTCGTGCAAGTCCGTCGACGGGTTTTCATCGCGAAACCGCAGGTCTGAGAGCACGCTGACCAAGCCGACCAAGCGGTCCAACCGCCATGGACAGTGCAATTTGTAACTCTAACTCGTGTACCCGTGCAACTCTCGCCACCGTGCTGTGGTGGAGGATTATTGCATTCCCTGGTTTGACATTGACACGTGTCGATCTTCTGCAAAATCAAATTCTCAGCTTGTAAATTTCACGACTTTACGATAGAAAAGCTTATAATCGAATCGCTTTTAACAAAAATAAAATAAAATATGGATTTCCAAATTTTATTATATACATTTTATAATAAAGAAACTGTGTTGATATTTATATTTCTAAACCTGTGTTAAATTCAATCATTTATGATCAATTCCGTTTGCGAAGAAAAATATTTTTTACATTGTGATATAAACATAATAAATATATGTGCCCACAAACCTCTGCGTGTTCGTGCGAGTGCGAATGAACGTGACCATGTCCGAGCGACTGTTCTCCTGTGCCATGTTGGCAGGGTGACCAAGGACTCCACGCACTCCAGCCTCCGTCAACAGGATCGGTAAGCACCGGACACTTGGTGACTTCCTGATGCCAATGATTTGCCAAATAATTATATTGATAATTCTGTTTCGGTGCCTCCGCGCACTTCATGAGAAGCTCGTTCCACCCGCAATACGGCTCTTGGGCGTTCAAGCACGCTTGACGGCTCCGATGACGATAACATTGAACAGCAGGTATGCTAAACGATGGAAAGCACGATGCGGTTTAACGAAGCATTTAACACTAACAATATTTACTGTTTACGATAATGTACATAATTTAAGATTAAACGACAACTATGTAGAACGACATGACTTAGATGATATTATCAGTACTATTTTAGATGACATTATAGATTTATTTTTATTTTTAACAATGTA